CCTGTCAGTACGATGGTGTTATAATGTTGGTGGGCAGATGACATGCATACTTCTTACTGTCGAGGGTTTGACAGGATAAAAACTGGCACCAGAACTCTCTAACCTGCACCACTACTACCACTACCTGCTTGATCCTGAGGCACAAGTTGGCGGTAGACTAGGGAATGTTGTCCTTATTCTTGAAGTTGAATAATAAGATTTTATCTGAAATCTTGCACTTGTAATTACATAACGTCTACATACTTTTTGTCGAGCGTTCTATGTTTATTGTTTTCTAAAAGGCCCATATTATAGGTGCGGTCAACAGGCCCCATTGACCCAATTACGCACCAGCCTGTGAAAGGACGTAAGAGAAGGTGGTGGTATTCGATTTGGAGAAATGGAAAGAGATGCTATAATTGCCCACGGAACGGCTTTTGTTTTACAGGTTTGCGGGCTTTCTTGCTTTTGCTTTGTTCTACAACTTGAATTTGAAAATTACTGGATGAATTCTGCTTTTAAGGACCGATTGCTAAACTGCTCCGACCGCGATGTTGCATATGCATGTCGTCGCTGTGGTTCTCTTATTGTCAGTACTCATGGATACGAAAGCTGCAGCTGTTAAATCTCGAAGAGTACGTTTATGAGAAGATCTTCTGATCTGCGTTCTAACTCCGCGACTATTTGTGTCGCCTCGCGTTGATGCGCAGTCGCGCTTTAATGCTACCAATTAATAGACCGCTCCAACATCTTACGTGTCTTTCTTCAATCAGGCCCTTTTTCTTCTTAGTAGTTTTTATCATTGAATTCCCAACTTTTTCAATTTCAAAACCAAGGGCTGATTCAAATGTTCACGGATTCTAGCTCACAGTCTGATTCGGTTGGGTTACTAGCCACAGATTTTAGACTGGTGCCGAGAAAAGCAGCTAGGTATCAATATAATGTGATTGATCGTGACCATCAACTATTTGTTACGCACAGTTTATTCTAGTGAATTTTTTATTCTTTGCCCTCCTGCAGTACAACAACAGCGCGTCACTGCAGAGTCTGAACCCACAAGGGAAGGATACCAAGTCGCCATGGCCGTTCAAGGATGATATGTATGCTACTAAATGTTGAATTGGAACAAGACTCAGTCCTCTTGAAACAAAGATACCCCTCGCTTCTCTTATCTAGGTGCTTCCAAATTACTACTCAAGTCAACGATCTACCAAGTAGTAGCGTTATAGCGCGAATATGCTGTAGTTATAGCGCGTCATTGCAAAGTCTGAACTCACAATCAGCCAAAGCGCTCTATTATGAACCCCAGCGTGCGATTTTTTTCTACTGGACCGGTTGACCTAATTTTGAAGTTGGAGCCTCTACACACCTCCTCTTATCGTTAAGCATGATGTATGATTGCTGTTGAGTGGTTTGCGCGTACCGCGTAAATCAACAATTCCCGGGTGTGCGAGTGGGCGGCGATTTTACGTGACGAATCTTCTCCCAA